AAGGAGAATTGGTACCAATCCTACTGAAACTATTTCAAAAAATCAAGGAGAAGGGGGCTCCTTCCTTACTGATTTTACAAAGCCAGCATGATCCTGATACCAAAATCTGGCAGAGACACATTGGAAAAAAACTTAAGGCCAATATCTGTGATGAATGTAGACATAAAAGTCCTTAACAAAATACTAGCAAACAGAATCCAACAGCACATCAAAAAGTTAATTCACCATGATCAACTAGGCTTTCTTCCTGCAATGCAAGGTTGGTTCAACAGACACAAATAAATTAATGTGATTCACTACATAAACAGAATAAAAAATAAAAACCATATGATCATCTGAATAGATAGAAAAAAAAACTTTTGATGAAATCTATATTAGTCTATTTTCACATTGCTGATAAAAACATATTCAAGGCTGGGTAATTTATAAAGAAAAAGATGTTTGGCCAGGCACAGTGGCTCACACCTGTAATCCCAGTACTTTGGGAGGGTGAGGCAGGCAGATCATGATGTCAAGAGTTCAAGACCAGCCTGACCAATATGGAGAAACCCTGTCTCTACTAAAAATACAAAAATTAGCCAGGCATGGTGGCATACAACTGTAGTCCTAGCTACTCGGGAGGCTGAGGCAGGAGAATCACTTGAACCTGGGAGGTGGAGGTTGCTGTGAGCCAAGATCACACCACTGCACTCCAGCCTGGTGACGGAGTGATATTTTGTCTCAAAAAAAAAAAAAAAAAAAAAGAGGAGGAAAGAAAAGAAAATGAGGTTTAATGGATTCATAGTTCCACATGGCTGGGGAGGCCTCACAATTATTGTAGAAGGTGAAAGGCATGCCCTACATGGTGGCAGACCAGAAAGAATGACAGCCAAGTGAAAGGGGTTTCCCCTTATAAAATCATCAGATCTCATGAGACCTATTCACTACCATAAGAACAGTATAGGGGAAACTGCCCCCATGATTATCTCCCACTGGATCCCTCCCACAACATGAGGAAATTGTAGAAGCTGCAATTCAAAATGAGATTTGGGTAGGAACACAGACAAACCATATCAAAATCCAACATCTTTTTATAATAAAAGCCCTCAATAGGCATTGAAGGAATATACCTCAAAATAATAAGAGCCATCTATGACAAACCCACATCATACTAAACAGGCAGTAGCTGGAACCATTCCACTTGTGAACTGGTACAAGACAAAGATGACCACTCCTATTCAACGTAGTACTGGGAGTCCTAGCCAGAGCAATTAGCCAAAAGAAAGAAATAAAAGGCAGCCAAATTGGAAAAGAAGAAGTGAAAATATCTCTGTTTGCTGATTGTCTGATTCTATACTTAAAAATCATAAAGATTCTGCCAAAAGGATCTTAGAACTAATAATTGGCTTCAGTAAAGTTTTAGGACATAAAATCAATGTATAAAAATCAGTTGTATTTCTGTACACCAATAACATTCTAGCTAAGAGCCAAATCAAGAACACAATCCCATTTACCATAACCACACAAAAAGAATGAAATACCTAGGTTTATATCTAACCCAGGAGATGAAAGAGCTCTACAAGGAGAACTACAAAACACTGCTAAAAGAAATCAGATACAGCACAAATAAATAGAAAAATATTCCATGCTCATGGATTAGAAGAATCAATATAATTACAATGGCTAAACTGCCCAAAGCAATTTACAGACTCAATGTTACTCCTATCAGAATAGAAAAAAACTATTCTAAAATGTATATTGAACCAAAAAAGAAGCTGAATAGCCAAAGCAAGCCTAAGTAAAAGGAAGAAAGTTGGAGGCATCACATTTCCCAACTTCAAACTATACTATAAGGCTCCAGTAACCAAAGCAGGTACTGGCACAAGAATAGACACTTAGACCAATGAAACAGAATAGAGAACCCAAAAATAAAGCTGCATGCCTACAACCATATAATCTTCAACAAAGTCAACAAAAATAAGCAATGGGGAAAGAATTCCCTATTCAATAAATGGTTCTAAGATAATGGCTAGCCATATGCAGAAGAATAAACTGGACCCTTACCTTTTACCATGCATAAAAATTAACTCAAGATTTAAATGTAAGACCTCAAACTACTACCTGGAAGAAAACCTGGGAAATACCTTCTCTACATCAGCTATGGCAAAGAATTTATGGCTAACTCTCTCCAAAAGCAATTGCAACAAAACCAAAAATTGATAAGTAGGACCTAATTAAACTAAAGAGTTTCTGCACACCAAGAGAAATGATCTTAGACACTTTTCAAAAAAAGATATGCAGGTGGTCAAACAAACATATGAAACAAAACTAATCATCGGAGAAATGCAAATCCAAACAAGACACCATCTCCCACTAGTCTGTATAGCTGTTAACATTATTAAAAAGTCAAAAACAAACAAACAAACAGTTGCTGATGAGGCTGAAGAGAAAAGCGAGTGTTTTTTGTTTGTTCGTTTTTGACTTTGTTTTGAGATGGAGTTTCATTCTTGTTGTCCAGGCTGGAGCACAATGGAAAGATCTTGACTCACTGCAAACCCCGCCTCCCAGGTTCAAGAGATTCCCCTGCCTCAGCCTCTTGAGTAGCTAGGATTACAGGCATGCACCATCACGCTCAGACAATTTTTTGTATTTTTTCTAGAGATGGGGTTTCTCCATGTTGGTCAGGCTGGTCTCAAACACCTGACCTCAGGTGATCGGCCTGCTTCAGCCTCCCAAAGGGCTGGGATTACAGGCATGAGCCACTGCGCCCAGCGTAGGGAGTGTTTATGTACTGTTGGTAGGAATGTAAATTAGTTTGGAGATTTCTCAAAAAACTTAGAAGTACCATTCAACCTGGCAATTCCATTACTGGGTGTGTTCCAAAGGAATACAGATTACTGTACCAAAAGACACGTGTACTCACATGTTCATCACCATGCTATTCACCACAGCAAAGTCATGGAATCAGCCTAGGTGCCCATGAGTTGTGGATTGGATAAACAAAATGTGGTACATATACACCATTAACTACTACAAAGCCACAAAAAACAATGAAAACATGTCCTTTGTAGCAACGTGGATGCATTTGGAGGTCATTATCCCAAGTGGACTAATAAAGAAACAGGAAATAAAATACTACATGTTCTCACTTATAAGTGGGAGCTAAACACTAAGTACACATAGACATAAAGATGGGAACAATAGACACTGGGGACTACTAGAAATGGGAGGGAAGAGGGGGGCATGAGCTGTGAAACTAACTATTGGGTACGATGCTCACTACCCAAGTGATAGGATAATTCATACTCCAAATCTCTGCATCACATAATATGCCCACATAACAAACCTGCATATATACCCTCTGAATCCAAAATAAAAGTTGAAAAAGCATAAAATAGAAAAAAAGAATTTGGATATTAAATTTTAGAAGCTTGAAAGATCCCTTTAGGAGAGAAAAGTTATATTAAAAGATTTGTACTTAACAAAAAGGCAAGCATTCTTTAATAATAACAAGCATTGGCATAGAGTTCTACCACCGAGACAATCTCTGATGATACACTAGTGATAAAAATGATATATTCATGGTGTAAAATGGTTTAAAAATTCAAACTACATAGATTGGTATAAAATAAAAATCAATGCATCCTTATCAAAATATTAGATTAAAAGAACTTAAGAGACATATCAACAAACAATAAAGTGTTTGGATTTAGATTCAAGCAAAGTAACTATTAAAATTATGGGCAGTGAGTCATGCCTGTAACCCCAGCACTTTGGGAGAGCAAGGCAGGAGGATCACTTGAGCCCAGGAGTTCAAGACCAGCTGGGGCAACATTAGTGACCTTATCTCTACCAAAAAAACCCACAAAATTCCAGGTGTGGTGATGTACACCTGCAGTGCCAGCTACTCAGGAGGCTGAGGCAGGAGAATCGTTTGAGCCCAGGAGCTTGAGGCTGCAGTGAGCTGTGATGCCACTTCACTACAGCCCAGGCAACAGAGAGCAAGACTCATTTCAAAAACAAACAAGCAAACAAAACGAACATTTATGATATAGCTGGGAAATTTTGAGCACTAGAATTGAAAATTTGATAATATTCAGGAAATGGTACTAATTTTTACATCTGATATATTTCAGTTATGTTTTGTTTTGTTCTGTTTGTTTAGACAGGATGTCTCTCTGTTGCCCAGGCTGGAGTGCAGCGTTGCAATCATAGCTCATTATAAACTTGAACTCCTGGCCTCAAGTGAGCCTCCTGGCCTCACTGGACCTCCCAAAGTTCTGGGATTACAGATATGAGCTACCCTGGCCTGGCTTATTTCAGTTACAAATTTTAAAAAGAATCCTTATATCTAAGAGCTATGCTGTTCAGTTGTGTAGCCCCTAGCCATATGTGACTCTACATTTAGATTTAAGTCAATTAAAATAGGAAAAGCTTTAAAAGTTTAGTTCCTCAGTCACATCAGCCACATTTCAAGTGCTCATTTAGCTATGTATGGCTTGTGGCTACTGCATTAGAAAGTACATATATAGGATATTTTCATTATCGCAGAGAATCCTATTGGACATTATCTTAGAGACATACTGAAGTATTCCACTAATGAAATTCTGTAACACCTGAAAATTACTTTAAAATAATACAGTAGAACTATAAGTAGAGTGAGTAGGGGCATAAACAAAACAAGACTGACTACAAGTTAATCATTACTGAAGCTGGGTGATCATGAAGAAAGGAAGTATCTATCTCCCTACTTATGTATATGTTTAGAATTTTTCATAATAGAAAGTCACCATGCCTTCTGCCTTTTAAAGAAAGTATCCACATCCTCTGCCTCAACCACTCCAAGCTCTGAGTATTTCTCCCTGTCGGCAATCATTTTCTTTGGAATCCTCAGAAAAATAATTAAAATTATCTACATGTGCATGTGACAGCTGTCTTAGTGTGTCTGTGTTGTGATAATAGGATACCTGAAGCTGGGTAATTATAAAGAAAAGAGGTTTATTTGGGTTATCATTCTGCAGGCTGTACAAGAATCATGGCACCAGCATCTGCTTCTGATGAGAGTCTCAGGTCCCTTTTATTTGTGGCAGAAGGCAGAGTGAAGCTGGTATGCAGAAGTCACATGGTGATGAGGAAGCAAGAGAGAGCTGGGAGATGCCAGGCTTTTTTTAACAACCAACACCTGCAGGAACTAGCACCATGAGAACTTACTCATTACAAAGAGGATGGCACCAAGACATTCATGAGTGATCTGCTCCCATGATCCAAACACCTCCCACTAGACCCCACCCCCAGCACTGGGCATCAACTTTTAATACGAGATTTGGAGGGGGCAAACAAATGAAACTATAGCAAAACCATTTCATATACTTTATAAATTTGCCTAGAAAGATAATACAATACATGCTATTCAGTTATTTGTATTTTTATCAAATAAAAGCTTTCTATTCAGCACATGCAAATCTGCCTCATTCATTCTAAAGGCTACTCAATATTACCTTGTATGGATGTTTCATAATTTACTTAAATAGACACCTGTGAATGGATGCAGAGTAGTGAATGTATTTGGGAAGATCCTGGAATAGGAGAGAAAGACCTGTGAATTACCTACATGAGAGAGATGGATCAGATTAAAGTAATTCAGTGAATTAGAGAGAAGAGCTCAGATTCAAAAAGCATTAAAGAAGTAAAATTAAGAGAACTTGGTGATTTCTTATAAATGAAGAAAGAGGGAGGAGAGGAAGAGGACTCTTGGCTTTTTGGCTTGACCAAATAGTGATGCCAGTCCCTAAAGAGGGAAATAAAATCACTCTCACAGTAAGGGAAAGCTGATGGGCTTTGTTTTAGACATGTTGAAATTCAAGTGTCTATAAATCCTCCCAGTGGAGATGTGGGGTAAACAGTTAAACAGTTGGCTCTATGTGTCTAAGGTCAGGAGAGGGTGGAGATAGTGAAGCAGAGGTCATCAGCATATATATAGTGAGGGAAGCTAGAGGAGTGAATGAAGCTACTACTAATTTTCTGATTCTTACCTCCCTAATCAAAGGGAATGATAAGCCTCCTCCATCTTTCAATCTCTCATGCCTATGCACACACACAGATGGAATGGCTCTACAGGCAACCCCATGACACACTGTTGTATGACATGACATATGCATTATTCATGAACACAGAGAGACATGATAAGATTTGTGTTACATGATGGAAGAGTGAAAGTTCTAGTCATCTATGTGACTAAGAATGAAGGCTTAATCTAGGCAGGGAAATGGGCACAGATATGAGGTAATAGATTTGTGAAATATTTGTGCTAATAACTGTTAAAAGTTGTAAAGCACGTAGGCCCACTCAGATCATCTTAAGTGATATACTATAAAGATGAATGAGAAAATAAGAAACATGAAACTATCTACATATTTTCAGCAAGTTTCAAAATATGGATCATCATCACGATACAGTACAACTCATACCACCTGATATTGTTTCAACTTGTTCATAATTTTCTGTTTATTCATGACTTTGCTACCTCATGGCTTTAACTTTTATAGTTTTTTCTGCATTGCTGTCTGTTTCTGTGTTTCTCTACCATTTGGTAATTCTCTATATGTCTCACATTCAAATTCCCCAAGAGACAAAGAATTTAATTGGTTGAATAAATCATTAGCCAATGTGGGGTAGCCTTGAGAAGAAGAAAGCTTTTATGCCTCCTCATGGATTGCCTCTAAGTCACATTTTATTTTTTCTTCAGTGGAGCATTTATGTATTATTAGTACAAATATGTAATCTCCTGATGTTCAGAAGAAAAGTTTTATATTTATATTATATATTTAATTTATATTTTTGTGTTTAGATTGTTGCCAGGTAAGGCTGGTCATGTCTAACTCCTAAAAAGCCTCACAGGCTATGAAGAATTTCCCATAGTCTCTTCCTCAATCTTGTAGTCAAAGAAAACTAGTTTGAAAAATGCCAAAACTGGGTTTATCTCTCAAGGAAGACTCTAATTGGTCCATAGAGTGATGTATGCACCAGAATGTCAATTTATCAATTTATGATGAGAAATTTTTAATTATAGAGAACTAAATTATTAAGTCCATGTAACTTATACATTCTCTCTCAATGGGAAGACTCATGTCTTTATTCCCTGCAAGAAGAAAGGGAAAGGGAAAGGACTCAATGTGTGTGCCAGCTGAGACTGTCTTCTCCCATCTTCTTAAGAGCTTTTTTGAAAAGTTTCACCCAAAAACTTTTTCTTATATTACAACAACCAGAACCACATTACAGGGCCATATTTATCTGCAAGGTGGACTGAGAAATACAGGTTTTGGCTGGACACACTGCCACCCACAAATAAATTGTGATTTCCCTTAGAAATAGAAAAAAATTAATATTAAGTATACAGCCATCAGTCTCTTCACAAAAATAAACCCTAAAAGTAAAAGATACGGGATCTAGGAAATGTAGGATCCATTACAGAAGAAAACTAGGGATTTTCCAGGTTGACAGTGAAGAATCAGGGTATGCAGAAAGCCCAGAGAGAAACAGATACAGATTGAGTCAGGAATATTAAAGACTCTGGCAACAAAATGAAACCAATTATTTGATACATTGGTCCTGCTGACAGTAGCTATGCTGCTCTGTGAAAAACTGGGACCAATTAATAAAGGCACGGTACACTAGGAAAATGAAAACAAAGAATTATTACTGTAGGAAAAAAATAACAGTTTTAGAAGTCGTAAAAGGCTATAGAGGCCTGGTGGTATCATTTACTAAAATGGAGGACACAAGAGACACTTCTGGTTTGGAATCTAGAGAATTTAGTGGTGTAGGGGGAGTGGTGAGTTTAGGTTTGTACACATTGACTTCATAGTGGATGTGCGGCCTTTGCAGAGATATTTGGTGGGCAGTTGAGTTATCAGGACAAGTAGTACAGCTGAAGGAGAGTACAGAGAATGGAAAGAGGAGCCAGAGTAAGAAGGACTCTTTATGGATATTACTATGTAAAAAAAGAATAGGAGGAATACAGAAAGGAAGCTGAGAAAGAGCAATCTCAAAAGTAGAAGGAGAAATAGTAGGATGGGGTCATGAAAATTGACAGAGGAAAGAGTTCCAAGACAAAAAGACCACAGGGACACAAGAAAGACAAGCACTGAAAAGTATCCATTGGATTGCACAGTTGTGATACAATAAGTAGTTAATCTTCTCTCTGCCAGAGCCTGAAGGCTCAGACGTTTGAAGGTATTTTTGCCCAATGGCCCCTTCTGAATTTCCTCTGGGCTGCTAAGAAATCCCATCCACATATCTCATTTATTAATTTCCTATTCTAATGAAATTTTAGAATATAAAGGCTTTGCAATTGAATATTTGTATCTTAAATTCCAGAAACTAATCTTTCACACTGCTCTTTTCAGATTCACTGAGGCTGAAAGTTGAATAGAATTTATATTTCCCTGTTCAGAAAACACAAAAAGCTAATGCTTGAATAATAGCTTAGAGCCCATATTCCCTAGCAATTCATAATGAGCATCATGTTACAGGCTTTGAAAGTCTTTTTTTTTTTTTTTTTTTTTTCTGAGACAGAGTCTTGTTCTGTCACCCAGGCTGGAGTTCAGTGATGCAATCTCAGCCCACTGAAACCTCTGCCTCCCGGACTCAAGTGATTCTTCTGCCTCAGCCTCCCTAGTAGCTTGGATTACAGGTGTCTGCCACCATGCCTGGCTAAATTTTGTGTTTTTAGTAGAGGTGAGGTTTCACCATGTTGGCCAGGCTGGTCTCAAACTCCTGGCCTCAGGTGATCCTCCTGCCTTGGCCTCCCAAAGTGCTGGGATTACAAGTGCGAGCCACTGCACCTGGCCTGAAAGTCTTAAACGAAGAAATCATATCCTCTTTGTTTAACTCATTATTCCCGTTATTTGAGCCCATAAATTGTTTTTACAAATAATAATTAAGAACTCCTGATGTGATTATTCTTTGCCACATCCTCTGAAAAATGTCTCTGTCCTATTGCTGCTATAACCCCACCGGCTCCTCAAAAAAAAGAAAAGAAGAAAAATGTCTCTGAAAGCAATAGGGATCACTGAAAAAGCAAGAGCAAAGAAAGGACAGAGGTAATCTCTAGGACAATATCTTCTACTCAAGAGAGTGATATGAAGACACTGTGTAAGCACCGGGAAGGAATAATGAGTGTCTGAACTCAAACAGTCTGAGTCTTAGTACAGAGGAGGGGATGAAGTAGGACTGATTCAATTGAGTGAAGAAGAAGTGAAGGTGGGAGAGAAAGAAGATTCAAAGATAACAATAAAGGCTTCAAGTTTGGGCAACTATGTGTGTGATGGGAAGCTTGGAAGAGGAAGTCTTGAAATTGAGTAATGTTTCTGAGAAGAAAAAAATAGAAATAATACATAGCTTTGTGTTAGTTGAGGAGTCATATTATGTGGGTGGAATTGAGAGGAAATGCAGCATTTCTGGGAAAAGGATAGGTTGAGAATAATTTAATCATAACTAGGATTGCTGGGAAACCATTCTCCTGACTGGTGAGTGTATATTGTTGAGGGTAGATTATATTCTAGGAGGAGGGCCCTTAGGATGAAATTAACAGAATGTGCCTGTAGAAAGTTAGTCAAATAACAGAAAATTTGAGCCACTGTTCTTCTACTTGGAAACTCCTAGCATCATTGACATTCACATTATTGGGTAACTACTATATAGACTACACTAGATTAGATAACTCCTCTGAGATGGAAAGGAAATGACTACTTTTTAATGAAGCCTTGGGTGAGCTGGCAGGAAGCTTTACCATTGGATTCAGGATAAGAGGGGAAGGATTTTAGGACTAAGATAAATTGAGAAAGTGTTTATTCAAGACAGTTTGAAGGCAATACATGCAAAGCAGGAAATCATAATTGCTAAGAAAAACAAAGCTGAAAATAAATCATATCTAGCATCAGTCCAAAGTAAAGGTCAACATGGAGTCAAATCAATAGCCAGAAGAATCAGAAAGCAGAAAGCAATAAGAGTAAAAAATAGATTGAGGAAGCCAGGTGTGGTGGCTCACGTCTGGAATCCCAGCACTTTGGGAGGCTGAGGTTGGAGGCGTGGCTTGAGACCTGTCTGGGTGACAGAGTAAGACCCCCTCCAAAAGAAAAGATGGAAGAGAGTAGTTCAGGACTATGTCTTTGAATTTGGGTGAGGTGAACACTCTCCTTTTATGCAGTGCCAGTGCAATGGTTGAGGTGTTTGGTGGCCTGATAGAATTATTCAGTCTGATTAAGAGTAAGGAGATTATTCAGGCTGATTAAGAGTAAGGAGAAGAAAGGTGAAAGAACAGAGATAAGAAAGTAATGGAGTATGTAAAGAGGTTGTGCCTGAGGAGACTGTTAGCTGAAAGGGAAGCAAGGAGGACCTGAATTGGGGAAGTAGAGAGGAAAGGAAAGTTTAACCAGGAAGTCAATTAGATGAGAACAGCATGGTAGGCTGGAAAAAATAATGAATTTTCTTATTCCAGTCTGCTTCATTCTGAAATTTCTTTTTTTTTTTTTTAATTTTTTTTTTTTTATTTTTTATTGGATTTTAGGTTTTGGGGTACATGAGCAGAGCATGCAAGACAGTTGCGTAGGTACACACATGGCAGTGTGCTTTGCTTTTCTTCTCCCCTTCACCCACATTTGGCATTTCTCCCCAGGCTATCCCTCCCCATCTCCCCCTCCCACTGGCCCTCCCCTTTTCCCCCCAATAGACCCCAGTGTTTAGTACTCCCCTTTCTGTGTCCATGTGTTCTCATTTTTCATCACCCGCCTATGAGTGAGAATATGCGGTGTTTCATTTTCTGTTCTTGTGTCAGTTTGCTGAGGATGATGTTCTCCGGATTCATCCATGTCCCTACAAATGACACAAACTCATCATTTCTGATTGCTGCATAATATTCCATGGTGTATA